TTTTAATCCTTTGTAGAAAGGTGGTAATATATGAGCAATATGAAAAGAACTGGATTCAGATCATTAGAGGTTCACAAACCAAACACACGAAGCTTTGGAGGCTGTCCAAAACAAAATCATGCCTAGGTGGTGATGTCCGTTCAATAAAAATTCAATGTCATAATTATCCTCTCACTTTTTCCCCAAAGAGCATTAGTGCTCAGCACTGTGCTGCTGCTCAGCCAATTACATTAATGCTCTGAGAAGACAGATAGGGCCGGCAGCCAATCGCTGTGCCAGGTCACTGCCTGCTGACGGGTGATTTACAATTATCAAGCAATTAGCAAATGAAGTGAAAATTCAACACTCATCTCCACATAACGCAGAATAACTCATTTTAAAATTAAAAATATGTTTTAATAACTTCATTTTGGCTACACACAGAGGAAAATAAAGCCTCCTTTTTCCAATTTCTCCTCCTTTTACTACTGACAAAATGTTTTGCTCTTTGAAGCTAGTGACCAAACACATTGTTTTATGTTTCTAAACTAAACAATCTCTTCCTTGCAAGTAAATCTATTTAACAACAGAAAAGAATAGAAGAAAAAGGTGTTGATAAAAGTACTATTCACCCAATTAATATATCTGAAACTGTTATTTAACTAACCACCTGATGAACATCCTGTGATGATGGGTAAGAACTAGAATTAACCAGGCACCTATCTGCCAAGAGTCCAAAATGTTATTTTCTTCTCTATGTTTAACAATAAATGACACAAAAGAGGCTGATCTGCAACTAGTCAGTTGCAAAAAACAAATGTTATTTACCATTAATGATCACGATAACAGTTCGTTATTTCCTATTGCATACACTCATAATCCTAATCCTAATTTTTTAAAAAATAGGCAAAACAGAACTTCTGGATAGCCTTGGCTTAACCTCTAGAAAACTACCGCATATTCTTTAGTATATAGTATGAAAATTGGAATTGACCTTCTTTAAAAGGGTTGGAAAAAGGCAGAAGAGGTCACCATCAACAGCGAAATACAAGTAGATAAAAGAAGATTCTTACATTTGTGTCCTCTGATATTAAAAAATCCCAAAAAACAACAACAAAAACCCCACAAACCCGAAACATCCTGACTTTAAACAGTTAGTAAAGGGAAAAAAATAGGAAAAGCTACAGGCTCCTACCAAAAAGAGGAAAGAAACCAAACCACACCAAAAACAACAACACACAACTGATGTAAATATGTAACACTTTTGTATGCACTGGACAACACTAGTCTTGCTGCACTGATGTCAGCTGTAGGTTTTCATCTTACATTGAAATGTATCTAAGCCAGACCGAAAGAGAACTTTAAAAAAAAAATTTACAAGGCTAAATGATGTCAACTGGAAAAAAAACTGATGGCGTTTGACATACTTCTTCCTCCTAAAATATACCAGCAACAAAGTAAACTTTTTTCTGACTGTATGGGGTTTCATTAAACATTCACACTATCAACATACTGTATTTACTTTTAAAGCAGTCCTTCACCCTCCTTCCGCAAGAGAAATACTTATTTCTGATTTTTTTTTTTTTCTTGCACCCTCTATATTACCACAGTGTCAGAAGGGAAGAGAAGGAGAGGAGGGAAACCAAAGCAACACAGAAAAATCCTCCACAAACCTGTTGCTGTGGATACTGCATTCCTCCCATGGCTGCTGGGGCTCGGCCCTGCATTCCCACAGGATAGCGCTGGGGGCCGGGAGGGCCGTAGGACTGCCCAGGGTAGGGGCTGCTCTGCTGCGTCTGAGAGTGAGGGTTATTGCCCATGCCGTACAACTGAGGTCTCTTCATGACCATTGGATCCATTGGACTGCCCTGTTGTTAAACACAAGCAAAGAAACACTAAGATACAGAAATAAAAAGGTCAGAATAGTCATGCTTATTGCAGACAGATTATACACGTGTTTTTTCAATGCTTTATACATCAAATATTTACTTGACATTCAAACAGGCAAAGTACCATACCCTGGTTTTCATATTAATTAGGAAAGTTTTTGAATGGTGAATTTGGGACTTTTGGTGTATTAAGAAAAAATGTTGCACTCAAACTTAAGGTTGTCTCTTACCTACAAAAAAACCAGGGACGACAACTACCTAATAAATTTCAAATTAAGAAATAATTAAGTATACTGTTATAAACTGATCAGCATCACTGATTCTAATGTGTAAACATAAATAAAACCGTGCCTATCAAAAGAGACACAAGTAGTGGGCAAGCCATTTAACCTTGAGAAAACATCTGTTTTCTTACCTTGAAAAAAGGGAAAGTGGAAAGAAAAGAAAGTTCTGAGAAGTGCAATGCATACAGAACACAATTTCAGCACTTTCATATTGCTATCATGTGCATTAATAAGTTTCCATATCATAATGCAAGTCACAACCCACACTTTACACAAGGTTTATTTGCCTCCTTAATAGACCTCAGAAAATCCAAACTGCAATCACCGATGGAGGGGGAGGGGAAGCAAGGGTGGGAAGTTTTATTTTTAGACTTTTTGGCAGCACTTACCAAGCACCGTAACAGTTTCAGGACGGATGTCAACCATTGTGTGGTATTAATCTCACGTTTTATTACTGAGGACTAACTGAACCAGAAAAAATATCGTACTTTGTCAAGCGCAGCACTGTATTGTTAATATGACACCCATTTTTTAATTCCTGAGTGCTGGTTATATTCACAGAAGAAAGTGTGGGAAAAAAAAGCTTTAAAAAGCCTATCACAATCTCGTCTTCATGAAAGAGACATACCCTCCCCTCCCATAGAAAAAGACCTATTAATTCATCCAGCCAACCCATCCTCCTGTCAGGAGCAGTATTCCTTCCTGTAGCACATTTTGTGTATGTTTTCCTACAGTGTACTGTAGATCTGTTGCATTTTAAAGCCTCCTATATAACACGGCTTCTAGAAATCCTTTTTGGCTATTCTATCCTGATGTAATAGTTGTTACAACAATAAATTACACACACCTCTCATTTCTTCTCATTATTGCTATTTGGTACTACTAACATACTATGGCTTTTTTTCCCTATATACACAAGGCGCACGCTCTCCAAAGTAGTCACTGCTTAATGATCTATTTATTATATGTTGTTCTTACTATTTCTTTCCTCCAAGTCAGTAACTCAAGCCTTCTCATTGTTTTCACTGGCTCTCCCCCTTTTTACCAATACTGACTTGCCAGGAACATCACCCAAGGCGAATAAAGTATTCCAAACATGGACACACTACACCCGAGGACATGGGAATGATAACCACCGTCTCCCTTCTCCCACAACATCTCCAGAGGACATGGGAATGATAACCACCGTCTCCTTCTCCCCAACATCTCCGTTCACTTCAGAAGAGGACTGCCCTTTTTTCCCACCACAGCAAATTGTGCATTCATTTCTAATTTTGGGTGAGTATTAATCAGCAAATTTCCCTTTATTAGTTGGCTTGTGGCCAGATTAGAAGTTTGTTTTTCACCACTAAACATCCCTGGGTAATTTACTATTTATATTTCACATTTTTCAAGATCAAGGGTTCACCAACCACTTCAGGCCACCTGACCCATAACACCACTCTCATTTGGATTTTTTTAGGCCATCACGCACTCTCACCACACTTCTAGCTACAAACACAAAGGTTTTCAGCAGATGAACTAGAGATTCCTTCTTACAGGGTCCGAGGGAACAACTTGAATTTCCTGCTACAGACCAAGATACTTTATCTATGTTTATGTCTGTGTTTTAATGTCCTTTCTGCGCATCACCTGTCATATTCATCTTCTCAAATATAAATCCTTGTTCAAACCAAGTCTTGAGTTTCCTTCACCATATTCTCATGAAGCCCAACAGCACTGTTCATCACCACCATCTTCTGCTTTGGGGTATTATTTCCAGGTCTCAACTCCAATAACAACATTTACTCAAATTCAGTTTTCATATAATTTTGAGTGTAATATTTTCTGTTCCACATCCAATACTTAAATATAAACAATGCAGATTGCTACACAGCTAAAACAAGTCTGGCACTTCCCATTGTTAAGACTACTTTCAGGTGCACATAAACTTTGCCAAACTTCAAGCATTTAGGCTGAAATTTTCCAGGCCATATGTACGCCTGAGGCTGAAATTCTCTGGAAAATTCAGCTGAAACAGTTCAGCTATGTCTTAGAATGAGGTCACAGAAAAATACATCGTTTATGTTCTTACATAAAACACTTAAAAATACCTCTTGAATACCGTGCTTTGGGGCAGAGAATTTTCATTTGCCAGGGTGACACTGGAGGCTGGGGAAAAGGCAAGGCCCACACCCCTGCCGAGAGCACCTGAGTGTCACGCAGGAGGGACGCAGGAGAGACTTCATCAAAGCTGCATGGAAGTAGCCTCAAATTTGCCAAACAAAGAAAGAGGGACAATGGGCTAAAAAAAGCAACTGAGACAGAAGTGGGGCAGGAAGAGTTGAAGGGAAGAGGAGGAAACAAGGTCAGGAGGTGACATGGATACAGGCCGAAGAGTCTGTGTCCTCTGGACTGGTGACCTGCAAGCAGTGGAGGTTTTGTGCGCGTGCGTGAGCAGAGCGAGCCTCCCTGCCCCGCAGACCGCCTTCCCTCCCCCTCACCAGCCTGCTGTCTCTTCGCTTCTCCTTGTCCCCTCCAGGAGAGCCACTCCTCCTTCCCTCAGGTGACACCTGTCCACTTCAGAAAGGCAGAGGGATAAAGAGCCTGAGACAGTGCTGTGGTTCCAGTCTGTAGGTGACCCACACAAGGCTGAAGCCGAGCGGGCCACGGTCACAGGGCGTTGGTAACAAGGGACGCGGGCGTACTCAGAACCTACTGTGGGCACTGCAATTGAGGCATCAGGATCAAGGACTGGAGACACTGGACATGAGAGGGCTGACAGAGAGCAGGAAATATCCCCAGGCAAGTTACTAGAGCAACCCAGAGAGACCCAACCCAGCTGCCAGTGCTGCCTGTTCCCTCCTCCCCCCAAGGTCTCAGCAAAGAACAAACAGTACCCAGGCGTCCTCTGATCATCTTTAGGACTGGAGGAGACAGACCCAGTGAGGAAGCACATCTCATCGCTTGCACTGGCCTGTCCCTATAGAGGGTGGCAACTCACCACCACTATTCCTGACCACCTTCAGATTAGATCCCCATCGTCTGTGCAGTGCAGCTAGAGGTGAAGGTCACCTACCAGTGACTCAGTGGCTGTCAACATCTTTCTGCAAGGCAAAACAAAAACAAATAGCTAGCTCTTCCCCAGGTTCAAGAGACACTACCACTGCAGAAGTTAAGAGCTGTTGGAATTAAGTTTGTCCTTCCAAGATTAAACCTGCCTCCTTCACAGACATAACTATCAGTCTTTAAATACACAGTCACACCGGTGCCCTCACAGGCAGCGGATGGGCCGCTCTACAGACCAGCCGACAGCAGCGCAGTGAGGGGGCTGTTGTGCACTATAGGACCAAATGCCTCCCTTATCGGTAGTGAATGAAGCAGATAATCGTCTTACCATTAAGGTAGCTGTATGCTGCACAGGCAGAACTGGAGTCTACCTCTGCATCTGCCCCAGTTTTTCACTGAAACAAAAAAATTTTCAAAATGTACCAATTTAATACATGCCTCATTTCCTTACTCAAGATCACAGGGTTTACATTGCAGAAAATGCTGTGTATCTACAACTGCAACTACTTTTGCATTTGATGAGAGATGTGCTTTCAAGGTGTTTTCAGAAGCTGTATGTTCCAGAAAATTTAATCTACAGCTGTAATAAACAGGACACTCAAACTTCCTACAGCAATGCCTCAGTGTCCCAACTATAAAAATGAAAAAAAAAAAAATCATCATCTCTTCACCAGAGTGCTGATTTTAGAATTTAACATGACTGTGATCAATACCATAAGAAATCTCTCTAATGAAAGAACAGATTTTGTCTTCAGAACAACGTATGTTGAGAAAGACCTGGAGCCATACACTTAAAAGAAATAACATCTGCTCACCCAGTACTATGTGCCCTGTACAGTGGAGGTAAAAACTTTCCAACTTTAACACGTGACTGGTTTTCAGCTTTAGCATTCTTTTAAAGTTTCATTTTTATAGCAGAAGTTTATTTCATCCATGATGTTTTGAAAAGTTATTTAGAAGGATCTGTTAGTTGAGAAATACCTATTATAATCTTACCTTAAGGTTCCTGTAACATTTATTAAGTCCAACTATTTTCTTTACCATCAGTTCCAACAGTTTTCAAAGACAAGTTTTGGGTGACAGGATGATTATGACAGGTATTAACCTCTTCACGTTGTAGGGATCAACAACCAACCCCTCCACACCTGCTCCGTAACACTGAAAATGACAGCATTGCTGTTAACTGCATCACATTCTAAAACACAGTGGGCATGTATGACCATGAATAGATGATGGCATCTTCCATGCCTTTACTTAATTCTATTACATGCTATACTACAAAGTTTTAATTCCTTTTTAAGTTTTATTTTAGTTTTGTTGCAGTCATCAATATCCATTTACTTCCTTTACAGAAGGGCCCAATTTTTCTCAACTGCTATTTTACTCCCAATATACACACTACCTTTTTACCAACTTAAATAGTGTTTGCTGATGCTATCTTTACTGTCATATTCTGCCAGACAAGCCTGAATGGATTCAGCCTTTTGCTTCCGATTCTGCACCTCGGCTTCAACTTGCTGCATTTCATTTAAACTTTGCACAGATCTGCAGTTCCTCAAAATACCTCAGTCTTGTTCTTTGCTTCAGTCCACAGTAATATTATAATTTATAACCCCTTTATTATAGTGCCTATCTTGTGTCAGTATC